AGGAAGGTAAGTGTCTTATTTACAAAGCTACTTTATCAGTTTCTTCAAAATTTTTATCCCCCTCCCCCAAATTCTAATTTTAAATTGTATTTTTATGTGTATTTTGTTTCAATTCATTGATGATTTGCTTTTTGTACCACATACAATAGTGAAAATTATGCTCATATTTTGGTGCCTTGGTAAATATTTGTAGTGAAACATTATAGAAACTTTATCTTTGAAGCTCCACCCCTGTTCAATAAGAACAGAAATCTCCTGCATGTTGTCTGTTTCTTTTGATTTGGGAGTTTAATGTCCATCAAGGCAAAAAAGAAAAATGTTTTAGTTGATTACAAAACCACTTTTATAAAACTTTTTGATGTTTTCAAAGACTTTGAGAACATTTCTTCCTTAATTCATCAGACATTATTATGAGGAAACCTTGCTTCAGGTATTACTGGCTTTGCTTTATTTGAAGGGAAACTGAGTCACAGGCAGGCTAACTGCCACCTCTGAGGTCACAAAGTGAGGCATTTTAGGAACTGTTTGGTTGTTACTTATTCTCATTTGCTGGTCCAGCAAATCATGTTAGACCCTGAAGGCAGTCAAGATTTTGTCATATATGTTAACAATGCAGATCAAATGATAACCTCTCTGGCATATGCTTCATAAGCTACACCCTAGGCAAAAGGCTGGTTTGTAGCAAAATTTGTATGATAAATAAAATTAAGTTCAATATTTGATAAACCAAGTTGGTGTAATTAAATGACATTTGAGTTGAGTGATGGTGGTCATTACCCATCACTAAGGGGCACACTGTGGTCAACTGGACACCTTAAAACACCCATGGACTCTAAATATAAGAACATGCTGTGAAAAAATCTGATAGAAATGATCTCCATTTCCATATAACTGAATAATAGCTATAGATTAACTGTTACTAACTTTAGGTTTGGAATACATCAAAATTTAATTGATTGACTTATTTTCTCAACAGATAGAATTGAAAATAATAATTTTTTAGAAAGTCTTCATAGATAGGTAGGTTGATCCTGTATTTCTCCCACCTTTGATTTTGCCATAGTTGACTTCCCTTTTATTATTTATGGGTGCATCGAGCACCTTTTCAAAAATTAAATGTAAAAATTATAAAGACATATCTTTAGAAATATAAAATTTTGGGGAGGTGGCTAACGCACAGGCTCTGGAGTCAGACCGCTTGGGTTTGAGCCCCTGGCTTCAGCACTCACCAACATCTTGAGCTAGTTGGTTAAAATTCCTAAACTTGGCTTCCTTATCTATAAAATGGAGCTAGAAATAGTTCCTATCTTCTCTGGTTGTTGTGAGGATTAAGTAAATTAATCTGTATAAAACACTTCCTTCTATACAGTAGTGCTTAATGAGCTATTGTTATTGGTATTTACTCTTTTAGTTTGGATGCAAGAAAACTGAAATCTTTAAGTTTTTTAAAAAAATATTTTTATTGAGATATTCACACACCACACAATTCAACTATTTAAAGTGTATAATTCAGTGGTTTTTAATATATTCACAGAGTTGTGCAATTATCACCACAATCAATTTTAGAACATTTTTGTCACCTCAAAAAGAAACTCTGTACCCTTTAGCAGTTACTTCCCATTGCTCCCAACCTCCCAGCCCTGGCAACCACTAGTCTACTTTGTCTCTATGGATGTGACTCTTCTGGATATTGCATATAAATAGAATCATGCAATATGTGGCCTTTTGTGTCTGGCTGCTTTCACTTAGCACGATGTTTTCAAGGTTCAGCCACATGTTGTAACATCTATAGTACTTCATTCCTTTCATTGCTGAATAACAGTCCATCGTATGGATAGACCCCATTTTCTTTATTCATGTGTCAGTTGATGGACATTTGGGTTATTTCCTCCATTTTGTTATTATGAGTAATGCTACGAATGTTCATATACAAGTTTTTATATGAACGTATGTTTCATTTCACCTAGGAATGTAATTTTTGGGCCATATGATAATTCTGTTTAACCTTTTGAAGAACTGCCAGACTGTTTATTAAAGCAGCTACCATTTTACATTCCTATAAGCAGTAGATAAGGGTTCCAGTTTCTCCACATCCTTCCCAACGCTTGTTATTGGTAGTCTTTTTTATGATAGCCTTCCTAGTGTGGGTCTGAAGAGGTATCTCATTGTGGTTTTGGTTTGTGTTTTCCTGATGGCTAATGATGTTGAGCATCTTTTCACATGCTAATTAGCTATTTTTATATCTTTGCAGAAAAGCTTGAAGTTTTTACACTCAGTGACAGTAGCTTTCCTTAGCCTAGATTTGCTAACATATAACACTCTCATTTGTTACTTATTTCATATGCACTAACTTATTTTAATAGTTGTGTAGTTTTATTACATCTATCTTTTTCTTTCCTTTCTGGAATTAGGCAGGGGATATACAATAAATGTAAATGTCCATGGGAATATGCTGTGTGTGTGTGTATTTATTGTATGTCTGTGTGAGTGTGTGCATATATTCAGTGTGGGGTAGTGGAAAGAACAACAGATGTTAGGAGTTAGATGACAACTATTCAATGCTATCTCAAAGTTAAATGACTTCATCAATGAGAATAATACTTGTCCTAGTTCCTTCACAAGGACTGTGTTTAAGAATTAAAGCAAACACATTTTATAAATTTCAAAACATGCAGATATAAGTTATTGGTATCATTATTATTATTATTATCTCTTCCAGTGATTGGGAAATAACGGCATTTCCGTAATGGCTTTCATTTTCCCCTCATTATACAGGATTTTCTAGCTCATGTCATCCACCACCTGGCTGCTATTAGTTTGATGAGCTTCTCTTGGTGTTCTAATTATATTCGCAGTGGGACCCTCGTGATGGTTGTGCACGATGTAGCTGACATTTGGCTGGAGGTAAATGTTTGCCATTAAAAAACTAATGACAATACCACGTCCTGGATTTAACTGCTCACAGAAGGAATTGTCTGTGAGCGACTTAGCAGGGCTCTCTGTCCTGAAAACACCTAAAATCTCAGAATGTCTCTGGGTTCCCAGATCCTCCAAGATTAAAGAAATGAAACCTCTCAGTTTTTATTTTTAATCCTTCTCCATAGTACTAAAGAAATGTTGATTTGTGGGATTCCACTCATGAAAGTCACATGCAGATGCTAGCTCAGGAAGTAAGATGAGCTATTTGGAGAGGGAATGAATTCTTATCCTTTGAAAGGAAAACCTGGATTTATGGCATTAAGGATTCTCAGAGTTGGATGCACCATCTCCTCACCTAAGCCAGGGCTTGAACACCTACTGTCCCACCCCATCCTCCTCCAGCTTGATCCGTTGCTGTAAGGACGGTAAGCCTTTTTAAAAGGCACAGTTTTCTAAGGGAGAAAGAGGGATCAGGATGTTTTCTGAAGCATGGAACATTAAAGCAAGAATCTTCCTAATCCCACACCACACAAAATGTAAGGAAAAAAGCAACATCAGGGTGTTTTCTGGACCTGTTTCTGCTATGCCTTGGCTCCTGTGGACCCCGTGGCAGTGATCGAGTGATCCCTCTCTGCCAGGTCTCCCGCTGTATTGAGGGCAACTTTTCCCAGAGCCACCGAGCTATTCTTTTAAATATAGTCATTTATAATGAATCCAGGGAAAATGATGCTAACCCATTTCACATTTGGGATTGCCTCTTGAAGGACTAATAATTGAATATAGGTTGATATGGAAGAAATTAAATTTAATAGAATCTTGTTCTTCTAGATTGGGGCTCAGCAAACTTCTTGGTGAAGGGCCAGGTAGTAAATCTAGTTTTGTGGGCTGCATACAATCTCTGTCGCATATTCTTCTTTGTTTTTTTTTAATACCCCTTTAAAATGTGAAAACCATTCTTAAAAGCTGATCAGCTTTAGCCCATGGGCTGGACTGTAATTTGCCAAACCTGTTGTAGAAGTAACCAGAAGCCATTTCAAAGCATTTGAAGCCATTTCAAAGCAACTGGCCACTGTTAAATTATTCTCTGTGTACAGAATTTTGTTCCTACTTTGTATGTAATCGAAATTAGACATGTAAATCTTCTAAAGGTCAGAATTATTATATATGCTTCAGGGCAACCAATGGCTTAGCAAAAGAAGGATTGTGCCAGTTTTCCACGTGGTGCACTCTGAATGCAGTCATTTCTGCTGTAATTACCTCCTCCTCTGATGGTACCTCAGTAACCCTGACTGAAATTAAGACCACGTTGGCCCTGACTTAACAATTTCATGTTACTCTGTTGCTCCTAAACCCTCTTGTGCCTTCGGTGTGTGTCCAATGTGAAAACAGCTTCATCGTGTTGTTAAAGGGGAGTTAGATGTTCAGGCTGGGAACAAACGCTGGGTTGTCCCCACCCACCCTCCCCACCCTGTCATCGATGTGATGTGACTCCCTAAGTGATTTGGGCAAATCACTTATTGTTTTGTTTTCTATCTCCAGCTGTAACATGAGAAGTCATACTTATCCCTTAGGGTGTATTATGAAGTTTAGCTCATTACTGTTTGAAAATGTTCTGAGATCCTTAGGTAAAAAACAAGAAAAATGAAATGTCAAATTTAGAGGTCCCTTCATGGGGAAACTATAAGAACAGCTTCATGTTGTTAGTGATCATGAATCATTCTTGATTCACAAGTCATGATCTAACTTGAGGTTCAATGAGCAAGACTAGTACCTTCCATCAGCTGGTGGTAGAGACAACATTAAGTAGTGGCAGGGGCCTATTTTTTATATTCTCCCAGGGTGCATATCCCACAGCTTTTCTGAATAGTTTTTTTTAGTGTTTGTCCTCTCAGTCAAGTTCTAATTGAACCCAGACACTGCACAACTTTTGCCCCTTGCTTCCTTGAGATGGAGCCCATTAATCTTTCATATTTTTCAAGACAGTTGGTGGGTCATTTCTTAGCGCTTTCTTTGCAAGGAAAAACAGCCTCAACACTTACCACTCTCAGTCGTAAGCACCCTTTTGCCTTCTTCATGCATCTTCTTGATCCTTTCTAATTTCCCACATAGTCAAGTTTGGATCCAACACTCAACGCTTTAACAATGTCCTGACTGAAACTTAGCAAAGAAAAGAGGTTATTGTCAGGAATTTCATCATTACAATCCAGAATATGTTGTGTGTATGTTTTACCCTCATGAGTGAGCCTGCAGAGGTCCCTCCCACACCTGTGCACATCCCTGGCTTCCACCCTGGTCAGTCTCTGACCCTTCCAACAGCTGCCCACTCCACTGCAGTTACTCTGAACTCTGGCCTTTCTCTTCACACCCATCTCCTGCCCACCGGGCACACCAGCATTCTATGTCAGCAACTGAATTGTTCCCTATGGGCCCTCTGGCAACACTCCCTGCCTTTGGTCTGGCCATATTCTTACCCCTTGGTAAGTGTGGAAAAGTATGGAAAGTGCCATGTAAACCCTTCCTGGAGGGTAAATATATTGCCTCTCTTGTTCTAGAAGGACCTTCGGTCTCCAGGGTGATGTAGGTTCTAAATCAGCCCAAGTCTAAGCCATGCTCCCTAGATGGATGAGCTGTACCGCAACAACTCCCCCAACAACTCCTACCCACCTCGTACATGCAAGTCCCACCAGAAACCTCCCCCTTCAGCCTTAGGCTCAACTGATAATGCAATAGAGCAGCGGTCCCCAACCTTTTTGACACCAGGGACTGGTTTCACAGAAGACAATTTTTCCGCGGACTCTTGAAGGGGGAATGGCTCAAGCACATTACATTTATTGTGCAGTCAAACCTTTCTGCTAATGATAATCTATATTTCCAGCTGTTCCCCAGCGCTAGCATCACCACCGCAGCTCCACTTCAGATCATCAGGCATTAGCTGTCATAAGGAGTGTGCAACCTAGATCCCTCGCACTCACAGTTTACAGTATGGTTCCAGCTCCTGTGAGAATTGAATGCCACCACTGATCTGACAGGAGGCAGAGCTTATGCTTATGCGGTGATGGGGAGTGGCTGTAAATACAAACGAAGCTTCACTTGCTTGCCCACCACTCACCTCCTGCTGTGTGGCCTGGTTCCTGATAGGTCACAGAACGGTACTGTCTGCAGCCCAGGTTTTGGGGAATAGAGAATCCTCATCCATGAATCTTCTATTATCATTCAGCAATACTTTCTGTAATTATTTTTATTCAACACAGATAATATGAGCAAGATAGACTAGCATAAAATAAGTAGGAAACATCAAGTGATTGCAACTTTATTTCAACCAGGACAGGGTCCTGAGAGCTGCCTCCTGACTCCACCTCTCCCACTGTATACCTTGAAATAGCCACGTTGATTGCAACATTCCCAGCCCAGCCCAGGAGTACATGCCTGTCCTAACCTTTCTTCAACCCAGCTCTCCTCCTGGTTGAATGGAGATATTAAATAAATGCCCAAATGAAATGCACACTAAAATTGATTATGCTAACTTACGGAGTTTTTGAAAGACAGCAATGTTACAGTCATTTTAACGTATCTTTTTTAAACATTATATTATGGAAAATGTCAAACATATGATAAGATATGATAACATATACGATAAAGGGAATGGTGTAATCAGCTTTAACAGTTATCAATATGACCAATCTTGTTTAATCTACTACCTCATCTGTCCCCCCTTCCATCCAGATTGATTTGAAGCAAATCCTGGAAATTATGTCATTTCATTTACAAATATTTAATTTTTAAAATTTATACTACTATATATTTATCTGAATGCAGTTTCTTTCTTTGTTTTCAGTCTGCTAAGATGTTTGCTTACGCTGAATGGAGACAAACTTGTAACATCTTGTTTTTCATCTTCTCCGCCATGTTTTTCGTCAGCCGCTTCATTATTTTTCCCTTTTGGTGAGTAGACGGGTGATGCGTCCTGCCTTTGGTCAGTGCACAGAAGTGGCCTTGGCACATTGTGACTGTCAAAGCATTGCCCTTTCTTTCCATACGTGGGTCTCCAGCTATTTGCGTTAAGTGTAGTAGGAGAAAAGAATGTGACGGAGCCATTTTTACGAATAATTAAAACAACATTCTCCAGTGTGGGAAAGGCTTATTACAATGGGAGATAGAAAATGTGTACCCCAGTGGGTAAGTAGCAACTCTTATTCTGTATCTTGTTTCATGAATATGGATCTTTCTTTGTGATTAACAGTTTTTCCAGTCACTCAATGAAAAGTCATGGGCCAATCACCAGTTCTCTAAAAGAGAGGCAATGTTCTGTGTTACAATAATTATAGCCATTACTTGAATGCCAGACACTGAGCATTAACTCAGATACCTGAGTTAATTAACTGAGGTAATACATATAAAATAGTTTGGAACAATGTCTGGTACATTATAAAGACTCAGTAAATGCTATCTATTAATATTAGTATTAACATTATTAATGAGTATCTCAGAATGTGGAGTTTAATCTGGAATCAAATCTCAGGTACATATTTCAGATACTTTCCTTGGTTGATCAATCGTATTATTAATACCATCACTTTTGCTTTGACTGAGCAGGTATGTTTGTGAAATTATAACACTGTGTGATAACATATTGATAGGATAAATATTGACTTGCAGGTAACAGTTGGATGTAGCTTTTCAGTGTGACTTTTGTGGCACTGTAAATCCAGCATTTGCCCCTTAGTCCCTCTCACTATGTCCCAAGGGCACCACATGTTCCAGTTGCCTGTTGCTGCATAACAAACCGTCTGAAAACTTGGTGGCTTAAGATAGTAGTAGGCAAACGTTTTCTATAAAGAGCCAGAGAATAAATATTTTAGGCTTTGAGGGCTACATGTGGTCTTTGTTGCATATTTATCTTTGTTTTGTTTTGTTTTATAACTCTTTAAAAGTGTACCAAGCCATACTTAGCTCAGGGCTATATAAAAACATGTTACAGGCCAGATTTTGCAGACCTCTCCCCTAAAACAACATCTATTGATTATTATTATTATTATCTCTCATGCCTCTGGAAGTTGATTGGCCTTGGCTGGATAGTATTAATTTGGAGTCTCTCATGTAGTTACAGTCAGATGTGGCTGGGCAGTCAAATAGTGGCTAGAGTTGGAATTTTCTTGACACCTTCCTGAGTCACATGGTTGAATACATATAAAATCAGCTGGTTGATGCGGATTGTTGACTGGGACCTCAGCTGCGGCTGTTAGCTTGAACACCTATAGATGGTCCCTTGAATCCTGGCTCCACACTTAAATCCTGATCTTGGACAGGTTAGATCACCTTTCTGTGCCTCGGTTATCTTATCTATAAAATGGAAATAAGGGTTGTCCTGAGGCTTAACTGAGGTAATACATATACAATAGTTTAGAACAGTGTCTGGTACATAGTAAAGATTGTGGCCTCCTAGCGTGGCCGTGGCATTTCAAAGGTGAGCCTTGAAATGGCATTTCAAGAGAGATCTAGAGGGATGCTGCATCTGCTTTTATTACCAGCCTCAAGAAGTCATATCATGTTGCTTCCAACCTCGTATTCTTCATTGGAACCAGGTCACTGAGTCTGGCTCGTATTCAAGGGAAGGATGACTAGACTATATTTCTTGATAGGAGCAGTTTCAAAGAATTTCCAGACATATTTTAAAAACACATGCCATGGAAGCTCTCAGTTCGGGGAACTCTCTGAGAAGCTGATGCAGCATTGTTGCTCTGGATGGCTTTTGGTTGAGCAATGGGGAACGTTCACCTCAGACTTTCCCATGATTTCGCAAAATAAACAAGCAAGCCTACTCACTCACAATTGAACACCATGGTGGGGTTGAGTGATTGTGGAAGCAGTGTGCTATTTTCCCACACTCTCTTGACTTAAAAATCCTAGATTTAAGAACTCATTCTCTTGCCAGCATTTCTGGATTCCAGCACGGTTGCATGCTTTTGGCATTTCCTTGATCTTGATACTGAATTCACCAGCCCACTGCAGAGGGCAGCAAGTACCACTGTTTGCCGTCTTCAGGGCCTTGGATTGTAAATAAACCAATATTAATTCCTGACAAATTTCTTGCAAATTAATTTAATTTAATTTACAAAATTTTTTGGGAATAGAGAATCCTCATCCATGAATCTTCTATTATCATTCAGCAATACTTTCTGTAATTATTTTTATTCAACACAGATAATATGAGCAAGATAGACTAGCATAAAATAAGTAGGAAACATCAAGTGATTGCAACTTTATTTCAACCAGGACAGGGTCCTGAGAGCTGCCTCCTGACTCCACCTCTCCCACTGTATACCTTGAAATAGCCACGTTGATTGCAACATTCCCAGCCCAGCCCAGGAGTACATGCCTGTCCTAACCTTTCTTCAACCCAGCTCTCCTCCTGGTTGAATGGAGATATTAAATAAATGCCCAAATGAAATGCACACTAAAATTGATTATGCTAACTTACGGAGTTTTTGAAAGACAGCAATGTTACAGTCATTTTAACGTATCTTTTTTAAACATTATATTATGGAAAATGTCAAACATATGATAAGATATGATAACATATACGATAAAGGGAATGGTGTAATCAGCTTTAACAGTTATCAATATGACCAATCTTGTTTAATCTACTACCCCATCTGTCCCCCCTTCCATCCAGATTGATTTGAAGCAAATCCTGGAAATTATGTCATTTCATTTACAAATATTTAATTTT